ATAATCAGTTATTCAGCTGTCACTGTAATCCATTTTAGAACACTTGGGCACCTCAGAAAGAAACACCATAGTCGTCAGCAGTCATTCCTCAGCGCCCCCCCCCAACCCCCCCATAGCCCCAGCCCATGCACCCACACATTTTCTTTCTGTCTCCATGCATTTTCCTGTTCTGGAAATTTCGTGTAAGTGGGATCATACAATAAACATATGGCCTTGTGCGCCTGGCTTCTTTTGCCTGCATGTTGTCAAGTTTCATCTGTGCAGTGGTATGAATCAATCCTTCATACACACCTTTTATGACAATAACACGATATCTGGAATGATTTTCCATTGCATGGATCGCATTTGGTTTATCTATCCATGTGTGGATGGGCATTTAGTTTGTTCCCAGCTTTTAGCCGTTATGACTAATGACAAGAAAAGGTATGTGGATGTTTTTATTTTCATTTCTCCTGCGTGGACACCTAGCAGTGGGATTGTTGGATCCAGTGGCAAGTCTACGTTTAAGTCTTTGAGGAACTGCCAGACTCTTCCAGAACAGCTCCGTCTCACATTCCCGGCGGAGATTCAGGAAGTCTCCAGGTTCCCCACATCCTCACCAACACTTGTTACTCTTTCTCTACTTGTGCACGAGTTTAAGAAATATGCCTAGGTGGCTCAGTTGGCTGTGCATCCAACTCTTTTTTTTTTAATGTTTTATTTATTTCTGAGAGAGAGAGAGAAACAGCGTGAGCAGGGGAGGGTCAGGGAGAGAGGGAGGTACAGAATCTGAAACAGGCTCCAGGCTCTGAGCTAGTTGTCAGCACAGAGCCCGACGCGGGGCTCGAACCCACCAACTGTGAGATCATGACCTGAGCCGAAGTTGGACGCTTAACCGAGTAAGCCACCCAGGCTCCCCTAGCATCCAACTCTTGATTTCAGCTCATGTCATGATCTCACGATTTGTGGGATCGAGCCTCGTGTTGGGTTCTGTGCTTGGGATTCTCTCCCTCTCTCTCTCTGCCCCTCCCCTGCTCATTCTGTCTTTCTCAAAATAAATAAACATTAAACACACACACACACACACACACACACACACACCCAGCCAGAATAAAAAGTTAGAAAAAAGAAATCAGAAACTGTGAGAGTGTGTGTAAACTGAAGTGCTTTGGCTGATTTCTTAACAAATACTTGATTGTCCACCACCCGCTGTCATGCATATTCGGGGCAGATAGTGGACAGAACAGACGGTGATCTCTAATTCAAAGTCAGGACTGCTCCCGTTGGCTCTTCCTGGACCATCTTTGGAGGCTGAGCCGAGCCTGGGACTTTGTGTCTTCAGAGGTGACGGAGGGGAAGTGGGCGTGCCCTCCCCCTCGTGCTGCCCCCCCGGATGGCCCGCGTGCCTGCCCCCGGCACTTGCTGCCTGCAGGAGGGACGGGGTGGCCTGGCGTGGAGAACGGAGCCACTGGGATGAAGACGAGGTGACCGCGTGGAACAAGACGGTGGAACGCCTTACCGCTTCCTGGTATTAAGGACATTCCCCGAGGGGTGGGCCCAGGCCCCACTATTTTGAAGAGGCCGACCCCGGGCTACTGCCTTCCCCCAGGTCAGTTGCCAGCCAGAGGCTCTGTCTGATCGGCTCTGAGGCCGGGACTAATGGCTGGCGTCCCAGGCGCGGTCACCCACTTTTTCACTCTCCAGCTTCCTCATTAGGACCGTATGTGTGTCCCTTCCCCGGGCAAAGTGTGCAGCTTTGTCAGAGTCATCCCCTTCTAGGAGCTTCTGCAGACCCTGTCCCGCCAGCGGAGCCCCTCCTTGCCGTGCTCGGACCTCAGCGGGAGACGCCGTGGCCTTCATGGTGGCTGTCACAGCTCGGCTGGCCTCCAGCACTGCCGCCGCTTTGGCCACCGAGCCGTGCTGGGCACGTTCTTAGTGCAAACTTGAGGACGACATGCCTGCTGGGAATTCCTAAGAACTGAGAAGACCGAGGATGAGGGCGAAGCAGTCGAGGAACTTGCTGGAGGCCATGAGGCTTACGCCGGGGCTTGATCACACCCCCCAACAGCGTGGGGTAGAAGTGAGCCTGCGCGAGGGAACCTCGTAGGACGGGCAGGAGAGGACCTGAGACGAGTCCTTGCAAGTCCAGGCTGTGTCACTGAGCACTTGTTCCACACCAGGGCACCTGCTGAGCCCACTGCCTGGAAAGTGCCGGGGTGGGGTGGGGGGGTGGTGTCTTTCAGGCATTTTTATTTTTTTCTTTTTATTAAAAAAAATTTTTTTTGCATTTATTTATTTATTTTTGAGAGACAGAGTAAGACAGAGCGTGAACGGGGGAGGGGCAGAGAGAGAAGGAGACACAGAGTCCGAAACAGGCTCCAGGCTCCGAGCTGTCAGCACAGAGCCCGACGCGGGGCTCGAACCCACAAACCTTAAGAGCGTGACCTGAGCTGAAGTCAGGACGCTTAACTGACTGAGCCACCCAGGTGCCCGTATTTCTTTTTTTTTAAATTAATTTTTATCATAGGGGTGCCTGGATGGCTCAGTCATTTAAGCATCCGACTCTTGATTTTGGCTCAGGTCATGACCTGACAATTGGTGAGATCAAGTCCTGCCCAGGGCTCTGCGCTGACAGTATGGAGTCTGCTTGGGATTTTCCTCATCTCCCTTAAAATAAACTAAAAAAAAATTTTAACTATTTTTTGAGAGAGCAAGCACAAATAGGGGAGAGGGGTGGTGGGGGCAGAGAGAGAGAGAAGACGACAGACTCAAGCAGGCTCCACAATGTTTGCAGAGCCCAAGTCAGGGCTCAAATTCACCAACCCTGAGATCCTGACCTCAAGAGCCAGACACCCAAGGGACTGAGCCACCCAGGCGCCCCCAGGCATTATTATTTCTAATTTACAAATGAGCTCAGAGGCGTGGGAGGCCCAGTGACTTGCTTAAGGTCACTTTTAAACACCGCCTTCCATACTTGTTTTCATTTGCCATTTAAACAAAACACACCGTTAAAATCCACCCATTTTCAGCTCCATGGACTTTAATATAGTCACGCAGTCATCGGCTCGCCAGGTTTCTGGACTCCCGTTGCTCCCTCAAAGTTCCTTCTTGTCCTTCGCAGTCACCCCCCCCAGGACTCCTGGCCCTACGCAAATTGCTGACCCCCCTCCTGCCTTTTCTAGAACTTTATGAAAATGAAATCAGAGTATATAGGTTTTTGTCTGGCTTCTTTCACGTAACGGACACTCGGTAACGCACCCCATCCTACTAATGCGATTTCCCAACACCGAACCTCCCTCCCCACTTGATCTCAATGGCGCTCAGCGGGCTTTGGTTGGCAGTGTTGCAAAACCTTGTCAAACATGTTCAGCTGGCTGCTACGGACGCATTGTTCGAGAGTTAACATCGGTTTGATGCTAAGTTCAATGGATTTTGTACGTTGATCTTAGGACTCTGCTAAATTCGTGGACTGTTCTTGCTCCATTCTTGCAGCTTCTTTGCTGGTTGTCCACCTGCAGCCACGTAACGTGGGGACGGCCTTCCCTTCCTCGGCAGGATGGGCGGGTTCCGGAGTGTGAAGCAACACTGGATTTGGAGGCCATCCCTGTGTCTCCTATGCCCCTCCCCCAGGCGTGGAGCATCCATCTTGGGGGGGGGGCTGTCCAGACCCCACATGACGCCACAGGGGGTATGGCTGCAGACGCAGCACACACCGGCCTGAGTGCTTGCTCAGTAATCCAGGGAGGAGGCATTCAGGTGGGAGATTCAGTTACTCGGAAATTCTCCATGTTGACTCCCTCAGATGCCTCAGACGGGTCTTCAGCTTCTACCAGACTTTGCCTTGTGACGCCCCCTACCATGCACTTCCACTCCCTCCTAACTGGGAACACCACTAAATGGCAAAAACAGAACTTTAGGCTTTGGGGATCAATCTGGACTCCAATCCGGACCCCTCCATGTAAGCAATTCCTGTTCACCCCAGGGGAGGATTTTAAGGATTAAACATGATTCCTGCTCACCTGGTGCTTAGCGGCTACCGTTCCCACCACCCCAAGTTCTCTCCCAGCCCATCCCCTACATCAGTCACCATCATGGTTTGTACATGATCTTGGCCTGGGAACCCCATGCGGACCCACTACCACCCATTTTCTGGGACTGAACCACTCCGTTTTAGGATGGGAAGGCAGATTTAGCCACTGCTGCTCCCAGCTCCTGCGGGGGATGAAGGGGGGACCCCACCTCCTCAGTCAGCTCTCCCCACACCACCTGCTGCTTGCTCACAGGGGTCAGACACCACCCTCCCCTCCCCCCCCCAATCTCGCAGGAGGCTCAGAGAATAATCGGATTTCAGATGGCCAGAGTTAGGGTTGCTAAAGGTGGGGAGACAGAGGTCTTAAGGAGCTATATTTAGACAGCTACTGAGGCACGTCTTACAAATACTACAGAAAAGCGGTTTAGACATGAAAAGCCCAAGGAGAAAGGAGTTACTGGGAAATGTAACATCAGGAACACAGAAGGCGTGTTGGGTGATCGGCCCTTCTGTGTGGTTCTGGAATATGCTCCAGACCCTGCAACTGCGACCCAAGAGCATGGGGAGGGTCACAGACGACCCCAGGCCAGCATCATCCCCCAGCGCTGTCTCCTGGCAGGCAGAGCGGGCAAACCCCAAGTTCTCACAATCTGCAGCCGCCCTGTACCCACTTCCACACACAAAACGTTCACAGAACTGTTTTTTAATTTGTTTGTATTTGTTACAACCTTTTAAAGCAGAATGTGACTTGAGCACTACATTTCCACTCACGAAACTTGTGGAGTTACTTCTCCAACAGCTTTAACCACACGCCAGAGCGGGCTTCACACGTCACTACTCTAAAGGCGCTTCTCTTTGGCAAACAAGCCCTAGGGGTACTCCCGTCAAGTTGGTTCGGTTTATTTAACACACTAGTTTCTAGAGGCCCGGGACATGCAGCTGTGACTACAGGGGATGGGAAATTTAAAAAGTAGATCCTAGAAAGTGAAAGTCGTCTTAACTGAGTTTCTTCTTTTAAACATCAAGGTACAGCTCAGAACACTTCAGGGACGCACAAGTTTGGTCTAAGGAATCCACTTGACCACTAACACCTCAGACCATGCAGTTCACACGAGGTCACGTACACCTTACGACAAACGTTACCTTGTTGTGAAGAGCGTGGCAGTAAAAGGAAAACTAGCCGGGCTTCAGTCCCTACGCACCACAGGTCCACACTCACACAGAAAGCAGGCTTATGTGTCTTCCCCGTAAGTAGTTCTTGTCATGCCATACAGGTTTTTAAAATGTTAACAAAAATAAAGAAAAACATCCTTGAAAATATATTATCGGAGGGAATGAAGGTAAGGTACAGAATACATGTACACGGAATTCTCGGGGCGGCGCTTAGTCAACCTCTTCCATGCGCGACGTGTCGTCATCGCCTTCCAGGGGCGGCATCTCCTCGGTCACCGCGGCACTGCTGTCATCGGCAGTGGGGTCGTCTTCATCAATACCTTTTTGGAAACGAAACCCTCAGGTCAGGCCCCCCAGAGCCAACCCGCGTGCCCGCCACCGCTGCACACCTGCCTTCGAGGCCGCGATGGCCTCTACATCCCCCAACACTAGGAGTTCTGAGGGGTTTCTCAGACAGGGTGCCCAGGGGACGCTGACGGGGCTTCTCAGGGTGCCCGGCGAAGCTTACCGAGACCAAGCTTGATCATCCTGTAGATCCTGTTGGCGTGCGTCTGCGGGTCCTCCAGGCTGAAGCCGGACGACAGGAGCGCCGTCTCGTAGAGCAGGATGACCAGGTCTTTCACCGACTTGTCGTTCTTGTCCGCCTCCGCCTTCTGCCGCAAGGTCTCGATGATGGAGTGGTCGGGGTTGATCTCCAGGTGCTTCTTCGCGGCCATGTAGCCCATGGTGGAGTTGTCCCTTAGCGCCTGGGCCTTCATGATCCTCTCCATGTTGGCCGTCCAGCCGTACGTGCTCGTGACGATGCAGCACGGGGACGTCACCAGCCGGTTCGACACGACCACCTGCAATGGAAGCGTGAAGTGAGCACCGGGCCTGGAAAAGCCCCGTATCTCCCGGCTTTATTGTAAAAGAGGCGGAAAGTTGGAAAGACTCCAACTACTGTGTTCACGAGACCAGAAACAGCACGTGCAAACCAAGTACCCACAGCCTCCTCCCCGCAGATCCTAACCCTCTTTAGGGCTTCAAGGACAAAGGTTTTCTCGCTCACTAAACAGGCCAAATTTTCTGCCTGTACATGAAAGCTGAGACAACTTGGGGAAAAAAGGACTACTTGTTTGGACAACCTGGAAAAGAAAAAACCCACAGGCCTTTCAAAACCAGGCCCACAACCAGGAGCCGGGCGGAAAGAAAACCACGTTCACACACCTTTTCTACTTTTTTCTCCAAAATGTCTTTCATGATCTTGCACAGGTTTTCAAACTTGGTCTTCTTCTCTTCCTGTTTCTTTTTCTCCTCTTCGTCTTCTGGAAGTTCCAAGCCCTCTTTGGTGACCGACACTAGAGTCTTCCCCTCGAACTCCTTCAGCTGCTGCACACAGTACTCATCGATCGGCTCGATCATGTAGATCACCTCCAGCCCGTGCTTGCGCAGACGCTCCACGAAGGCCGAGTTCGCCACCTGGTCCTTGGTCTCACCTGAGGCATCAGGAGAAAGCGACACCTTCGGTTAACGGGAAGCGGTTTCGCTTCCTCCGGGCTTTTCCCAGTCCCGTCAGATGGAACCAGACGCCGCACGCGTGGCCTCGGCCCGGTCGGTACCTGGGCACTTCCACGTGACCCCCGCGCGCTGCCGGTCCCCCACCTGTGATGTAGTAGACGTGCTTCTGGTTCTCCTTCATCCTGGTGCAGTAGTCCTTCAGCGACACCATCTCGTCGCCCGAGGCGGACGTGTAGTAGCGCAGCAGCTCCGACAGCTTCTTCCGGTTTTGGGAGTCCTCATGGATTCCCAGCTGGAAGACAACGTTCGCTTTAAGTCCCCTCCGCATCCCGAAAGCCCCTCAGAACCGGAGAAGCCAGTTCGATCCCCGTTTACACGAACCTTGATGTTCTTGGAAAACTGCTCGTAAAACTTCTTGTAGTTCTCTTTGTCCTCGGCCAGCTCGGTGAAGAGCTCTAAGCACTTCTTGACCAAGTTCTTTCTGATCACTTTTAAGATCTTGCTTTGCTGCAGCATCTCCCGGGAAATATTTAGGGGAAGGTCCTCAGAGTCCACCACACCTCTAATGAAATCTGAAAAAGTGGAAACAAAGAAATCAAACTTCTACACCCCAAACACTGGGTTCCCTGCCCCACAGGCCCAGGTCAACGCCCCGAGCGGAGCGGTCCCCGCGCTCGGTCCCCACACCCGCGCGTGCTCACTCAGGTACTCCGGGATCAGCTCCTCGCAGTTATCCATGATGAAGACTCTGCGAACATACAGCTTGATGTTGTTCTTTTTCTTCCTGTTTTCAAATAGGTCAAAGGGCGCACGTCTTGGGACAAAAAGAAGGGCTCTGAATTCCAACTGTCCCTCGACTGAAAAGTGCTGTAAGAGAACACCCCCAAATCGTTAAGGCAACGCCAGCGACTTTGGCTTCAGCTACAACAGTGACAGAACTGGGAGCCGTTCCAGGCACAGGACAAGGGCTGGGATGGCCAAGCCCTCAGCAACCCTCCGACCCCCCACCTGCAGACGCCGGCTGCTCGGACTCACCTTCACTGCCAAGTGATCTTCCCAGTCGTTGGTCAAGCTCTTGTAAAACTCTCCGTACTCCTCGTTAGTAATGTCGTCAGGGTTTCTGGTCCAAATAGGCTTTGTCTTGTTCAGTTCTTCTTGGTCGATGTACTTCTCCTTGATCTTCTTCTTCTTCCTCTTGTCCCCGTCCTTCTTTTCCTCCTCCTCCTCGTCAGAGCCCACGTCCTCGATTTCAGGTTTGTCATCGGACTCCTTCTCCTCCTTTTCTTTCTCTTCTTCTTTCTCTTCCTTCTCTTCCGCCTCATCATCACTCACTTCTTTGTCCCGTTCTTTCTCCACCTTCAAAGGAACGTGTGTAGATCACATCACCTTCTGCGTTCTGGAAGGGAGCTTCTGCCCTTGTAACCACAGCCTCAGCTAATGAGCCAAACGCGAAGATTAAAGAAGCAGAAAGCTCCTCGTGAACATTTAACGTTATCTACCTGAATGGCCTGGCTTCCTTAAGAACACAACAGAACTCAGCCTAGCCAGGTCAGGACAAGCTTGGGCCTTTCCCTCACCAGTAGATCTAAAGCCTCACTTTGCTAACTTGATCCACATACACAACCCGGGACACTCACAAACAGCGTAATGGGATAGCCGATGAACTGGGAGTGTTTCTTCACAATCTCCTTGATTCTCCTCTCCTCCAGGTACTCCGTTTGGTCTTCTTTCAAATGCAAGATCACCTTTGTTCCACGACCCATAGGTTCACCTGTGAGGGAAGGAAAACAATGGACTCCATTTCAATCTGAATGGGCAAATTCAGCTCTCAAGGCCACCCACACCCAACAGTTCCTGAGCAAGTGACGAAATGGGGTTCACCGCTGCTGTGGATCAAAGGCGCCCCAGAGCACGTTGCCCGCCTCGCCCAAGCCACATGGGTAACCAGAAGAGCCCTGCTACTGCACCAACATGGGCTTAACAGGCTCGCTCCAAAGAGACCGATTTTTACGGCACCTTCAGGGGTCCCCTACCTGCAGCCCCAGCCCTGCCGTGGGAACGCGGGGCCCGGAAAGGGCTTCCACCAGGCGCCTACCTGTATCAGTCCGAACTGTGAAGGACCCTCCTGCCGACGACTCCCAGGCGTACTGCTCGTCGTCGTTGTGCTTAGTGATCACCGTCACTTTCTCAGCAACCAAGTAGGCAGAATAGAAGCCGACGCCGAACTGGCCAATCATGGAAATGTCTGCGCCAGCCTGCAGAGCCTCCATGAACGCCTTGGTCCCAGACTTGGCGATAGTACCAAGGTTGTTGATCAAGTCGGCCTTGGTCATGCCGATCCCAGTATCCACGATGGTGAGGGTTCGGTCTTGCTTGTTTGGAATGAGGTTAATGTGCAGCTCCTTGCCGGAATCCAGCTTGCTGGGGTCGGTCAAGCTCTCGTATCTGATTTTGTCCAGGGCCTACCCGAGAAACACGGGCCGGTGAGCACAGAGCTCCCGGCGGGTGGGACGCACACCCGGACCGCGACCCCTTCCCGCAGCGCGACACTCACATCGGACGAGTTGGAGATCAGCTCGCGCAGGAAGATCTCTTTATTCGAGTAGAAAGTGTTGATGATCAGGGACATCAACTGGGCGATCTCCGCCTGGAAGGCGAACGTCTCCACCTCCTCCTCCTCCATCGGCTGGTCTTGGGTCTGGGTTTCCTCGGGCATCTGCAGAGGCCGCGGGGCCGGTTACGCGGCGCCACAGGCCTCCGGGAGGCCCGGCCCGCCGACAAAGGATGACCTCATTTCCAGCTGCGACACCGAGGCCCGCGCGCACGCCTCCGCCAACCGGCGCCGAAAGCCTGCGGGGACCCCCGCCCGGAGCCGGGGCCCCCGACCCCGGGGCCGCGGCCGGGCGGGGTCCCCTCGGTGAGCCCTCCCCGCCGCCCCTCCAGCAATCCGGGCCTCCCCCGGCCGCGGGCGGGGGTCGAGGCCGTAGCAGGCCGGAGGCCTTGGCCACCCAGAGCACCGCCGCCCCGCCCCGCGGGGCCCGGGGAGTCCCCCGGGAGCCGCCCCCGAGCCCGCCGACCCCCCACCAAACCGCCGCCGGCCAACCCCTCACCTTGGCTAAACGACCGCACAAGCTCCGCGACGAAGCAACACCGGGACGCAGAAGCAACTGGCGCGCCGCCCCCGCGCTCCCTTTATATAGACGCGGGCCCGCCCGGCGCGCGGCGCCTTTTCCAGAAGCCTCCCGAACCTTCCGGAAGAACCCTCCCCAACCGCCGCCGCGGCCGCGCGCCTGCGCCTGCGCCCTGGCCACGGCCCCGCCTCTCTCCCGGGCGCGCGCGGGCCCGCCACGAGCGCTCCACCCCCAACGGCCGCCGCGCGCGTCCCCGCGCCCGTCCTCGTGCGCCTGCGCAGCCCGGAATTCTCGCGAAGGTCTGGCGCCTTCCGGGGCCCCTGCCCCCCACCCCGGGCCTGCGCTGCCAGCTCGGCGCGCGCGCGGGCGCACTGGCGCCACCCAGGCCCGGGACTGGGTATCCGCAGCCGTTGCTTCTGTGAAGTCCGGAGAAGTAATTTGCCGGTTCTTAGACGGTGTCCCCAGGCAGTGTGGGCCGCGGGGCCCCGGGCCAGGTCTAGGGCTCTGGCGGCGGGTTCAGGGGCTGGAGGAGACAGGGGTCCGGCTCGCGTCTATACGCCTGGGGCAGTGGTCAGAAGCCCGGGGTTATGGCTGAAGGTTCAGGGGTGCGATGCCACGTGTCTAAGGCCGGGGCGCCGATTAAGGGTTCAGGGCCCTGGAAGTGGGGCGACAGGTGCCCGCCAGAGCCTCGCGGTGCGGGGGCCCTGCTCACAGCCTGGTTAAGGGGTGCCAAGGCGCGGGGCCCTGACAGGTGTGAGGGGTGGCCGGGGCCTCTGCGTGGGGAGGCCGAGCCGACCCCTCCTTTCCGCCCTGAGGCAAGGGGGCGTCCAGCCACGTGGGGGTCCGTTTGGACGAGGAGCCCCTGGAGCCTGGTCGGCCGCCAGGGCCCGGTTCTGAGTGTGGGGCAAGGAGCCCGGAACCGCACAGGTGACAGGGGCGTCCCTGGCTGCTCCCACTGCCCTGGACTCGCCAGACGCAGGCCGCTGCTGGGATCTGGGGGCCGGGCACAGGGGAAGATGCTGAGATGGACCCTTGGGCCTGGGTTCCCGAAACCCGTGCTCCATCCCTTGCGGCTTTCTCTCTTTTTTTTTTTTTTTTTAGTTTGAGGAGTCGAATTTGGCGATTCTTCACTTCCATAGAACACCCGGTGCCCGTCACAAGCGCCCTCCTTAATACTCATCGCCTCAGCCTGCTTGCGGTTTGCCCGAAAACCGGGACCCTCACACTAGTCTGGGGCTTCCGGATGGGTGAGCCAGCGCGTGCTCAGCCGGTACCCTCAGCCGTTTTGTAAAGCCCTTTATTGCCCATTTTACGTAATTTGAGGGATCCATATGCAGTATCCAGTTCGCGGTTTTGAGGACTAACTTGGTCCCAGAGCCAGTTTCTAAATGGGGATTCCTGAGGTGTTTTGAACAAGGGCAGATGGGGGTCGTGAGAATGTTGGGAGTGGTGGGGCCCTTGGACGCCGCCCAAGTCGGCAACCGGGTGGTTTCTGGTTTGAGGACCCCCCCCCCTGCACTGCACGTCCCAGTAAATGAGCTCAGCCCGTGGCTCCTTTGTCGCTAGCTCCTCCCGGTACTCCAGCCTCCCCTCCCCCTCCCCCCGGAACAATCTGGAAGCTCCTTGCGTTGTAAACAAACCTGACCGAACTCTCCTTCCACTTCCTTTCCCGGAAACCTCGCTTTTCCAGGAACGGGGTTTTCAGACTGGGGCTTGAGACCCATGGGGAGCGTGTGAAATCAGCACAGGGGCGTCCTGGGTGGCGTTAAGGAGCGGAGAGAGCGAATGGAAACTTCCAGCCACGTGGCCGGGGGAGGCGGGGGTTGCTGTGCCTCTTACGGGGGCACCTTGTAAAGCGTGTTCGTGACCCCAGCTGTGTCTGGGAGCTCCCGCCCGGGTTTTCCCTGCAGCCTGGGCCAGGCTGGGGGAGGGGAGGCCGGAGGAGGGCGGTGGGCGTGCTGGCGCCCCTGTGCGAAAGCGACCGGGAGGCCGCCGCCCCACCTGGAGGCCTGGCCCGCTGCCTTTCCGCCCACCTCGGTCGCGGCCCGGGAAGCGTAAGAGGTCTCGTAGGCGAGCCAGTCAGAGCCCCAGCTGTGCAAGTCTCCGTTTCCAGAGACTTCACCTGCCCCCGCCCCACCCTCCTCGCCCCAAGGTCACTCCCGGATCGCTGTTGCCCGGCTGGTTCCAACTCTAGCAACCCTCCCTCCTGCCACATCCCCCCGTCTTTGCGGCTCTCTCCTGCCTGCCTTAGTCACTAAGTAAAAGAACTTTCTCATCCTGCCCCCTCTTGGCCTCCGGGCAACATCGTACCCCGACCAGCATTGCCCCGGGGACCTCTGCCTCGGTTTCCCCAGCGGCCCTTGTCGGAGCTGTTGGAACCGGGCCTCTGTGCACGTGATGACGGAGAAGCCCGGCCGGGCCTCTAGTGCCGCACCCCACCCACCTGGCCTTCGGGGACTCACGACCCCGCTGGCTGCCCCACCACCTTCTAGAACTCCCAAGCATCCCCACAGGGGGTCTGGCCTGAGCCCTGCCACTTCTGCGACCGAAATGCCTCCCCAGTGCGTCTGCTGCTCTCCATGTCTGTCGTCCACGCCCCTCCGCAAGTCGCTCGCCCCGGTCACCACAGCCAGTGGCTCAGCGGAAGGACCTCCGTAGCCCCCAACCGCGCCGTCTCCACCCTGTAGCCCGCAGCTCCCCTCACGCCCCCTTGTCACTAAGCTCCACCCTGAACTCCGGCCACAGGGCTGCCCACAGCTGGCTTCTCTGCGCTGGACGCCATTCGCCTGCTTTCTTCTCTGTCCCCTCTCTGTAAGGCTCCCGTTTCCCCGGGTGCCCTTCCCATCCTGACTTACCTATGAGGCCCAATCCCCTGTGTAAATAATTTCTCAGAGTGTGGGGACCCCCCCGGGGGCGTGTGCGCACCCACGCCAGCCAGTTCTCCCACCCCTGCGCCCCCGCGCCCCCTCCCCTCCCTTTCCACCCAGCCTCCTGCTCCCGCCTCTCTGTTCTTGTCCTGTGTCCACGTCCTGCAGAGGACAAGCGCCTATTTGTTGAACTGTTGTCCAGGCAGCCCGGCCTTTCTCCTTCCCGCCAACCCTTCGGCGTCCCTCCATTAGGCCGGAACGCAAGGCATGGACCCCGGGCCCAGGTGTCCTGGGTTCAGACGTCGGCTCTGCTACTGCCTGCGCCTGCGACCTGGGCACGTCGCTGCTGGTGTGCCTGCCCCTGTGACGTGGGCACGGCAAGACTGTAGGCTTATGAACCTTACGCGAGCAAAGTCTGTTTTGGGAAATGACTGAGGACAGGGCCTGGCACGTGCACAAAATAAATAACTCTTCATTTTCCCTTCGATTTCTTCTTTGACCCAAGGATTATTTATAAATGTGTTAGTTTCTAGATATTTGGAGGTTTTCCAAAAATCTTGTTGTTACTGATTTCTAGTATTGCATTTCATTGTGGTCGAAGGTCACACTCTCCATGATATGAATCCTTTCAAATTTATTGAGACTTATTTTATGCCCAGATTATGGTGTAAACTGGTAATTATTCTGTATACAAAGTCATTACGCCGAAGGAAAGGTGCCAGTCAGTGATAGAACTTTAGAAAATGCAAGCCAACCTTCCGCGACAGAAAGCAGACCCGAGGCCTCCTGGGGGGTGGGGCCAGCAGAGGCGGGGGTAGGGGGACCGAGGAAGCTCTGGTTGAGGCACCTGCTCACCCTCTAGTTTGCAGCCAGGGTTGCCCAGGTGTACACGTGTGTCAAAACATACCCAGTTGTGCTTCGACGTGCGGTTTGCTGCATGTCAATTACACCTCACAAAGCTGTTTTTAGAGAATTTATGTTGTTTGGCAAAGACCTGGGAGAGACGTTCAGAATCGAGTTATATAGGAAAATTCAGTGGTTCATGCTTGGGAAAGAGACACAGTTGACTGGAGCAGCACAGCTGGACCGTGAGCCCTGTCCCTGCCACTTACTGGCTGTGTGACTTTCAGCAAGCTGCTCAGCCTCTCGAGAGTGTGCTCTGCTCTTCTCATCTCTACAACAGTGACAATCACAGTGAGGAGGTGGGAGGCTGCGTGAGCTGATCCCGGGAAAGCGTGCAGGGCCTGGCGTGCAGCGAGTGCTTGAAGGATGGACGCGCTGTTCTCTCAACGGAGACCGAGGAGGCGGCCGGGTCACAGGGATGGTGTCCTGCACTTGGGCCCAGCGGGGGTGCGCTCACTGCTTGGGGGGCCGGAGAGGGCTGAGAGCACTGTCCCGCAGCAGGTGAGGGAGCGGCGGCCGGTGGAGCAGCTGGGCCGTGGGGTTTAGAGTTGGGCCTAAAGTGGATTTCCGCCCAGCACACCACGTTCCCACTGCCCAGCCACAACATGGGGGCGCTTTGCTACCCGAACCATTCTTCTCCTGGCAAGTTTTAACCTGCCCTTGGAGACCCAGCCTGGGCAGCCATTCCTGGGAGTCCCGGGTGGGGTCGATACTGTCCCTGTCACTTGGCACACGCTGTCACCAGAAGGAGGCACAGCGAGCATTCCCTTGCCCTGCTCGCCCACTGTCGTCGGCAGAACGTGGCCATTCTGACAGGGGAAGCAGTGCCGTGTTGCTCACTGAGAACCATCCAGTTTTTCTTAAGTTTATTTTGAGAGAGAGAGAGAAAGTGAGGGGGGGAGAGAGGGAGAGAACCTCAAGCAGGCTCCGTGCTCAGCACAGAGCCCGACGCGGGGCTTGATCCCGGGAACCGTGAGATCGTGACCTGAGTCGGACACTCAGCCAACTGAGCCCGCCGGGTGCCCCGAGCACCATCCATTCAGTGCCTGTTTACGGCGGGCCGGCGCCCCGGGCCTGGGGGGCAGCGGGTGCAAAGTCAGACCTCCGAGCGCACGGTGGAGACAGCCGCGAGGCCGCCGTCACGTGAATACGCAGATTTATACACGGATGGGCGCCGGGAGGCGTCGGGGCGCTGCCCGAGGTGTCTGGGGGGGAGCGTGGTGTTAGCTGCTGGAGGGGGACAGGGGAAGGGCATCTGGGAAAGGGAACAACGTCTGCAGAAGTGAAATCTAGGAGTACGAGGGGTCCTAGGGAAGAATAAAAGGCAAGGCAGAAAAGGAAATGGAGGCTGGAAAAGCCTTTCTGTGTGGGGGGTGGGATGGGGGACACAGTCTGCGGGGGGGGGCAGGGGGGCTACCGGAGCTGCAGCAAGCGGTGACTGCCAGTTTGCAGCGCACAGTGCCAGCGGCCTCAAAACGTGGCCTGTCCCAGGAGGCCCGGGGGCTGTCCCGGGGGCCCCCATTGAGACGTCTCACTCTGTCCTGTGCATGACGTCAGGCCCTGGGAGAGCTGGGCGGGGCCTGCAGCCACCGAGCTGGAGGGTGGACAAGGGGCAGGCTTGTGAGAAAGGTCCAGGTGCGGTGAAGGAGCCCGCGTGGGGGTCACTGGAGTGGCCATGGCAGCACGTGACCTGTTTGGTGTCACCGTGTTGGGCTGAACTGTCTGTGGGGCACCCAAGTGGATGGACATCCAGCAAACGGGACCCTGGGGTGTGAGCAGGGATGTGGTGGGAGGGGTGGGTGGGGAGGGCCACCGGATCTGCTTGGCAAGCACAGGCCTTCCCTAGGGTGTGGTCTCAGTGTAGTGAAGAGCTGGGAACGGGAGGGACGGGAGACTGATCTGCTGGTGGGGTGCAGTGCGACCCCCCCACCAGCCCCGCCCAGGCCTCCCAGCCCTCTCCCATGAACCCCCCCAGGCAAAGCGCAGGGAGCTGGACAGGCTCAGCCTGAGCCTTCAGGGGCTTACATTCTGGTGGGGGAGAGACAGACCATAAACATGCAAATGACAAGTGGGACAGTCTGGGCCATTCTTCAGGCCCCCCCAAAATGGGTGTGGGCTCGAACTTCCTGGAAGCACCACACTTTCCCTTGACTCACTTTCAAACCTTGTTGAGTCACCTTGGACTCATCCCTCGGCCCCCACATTCTGACAGCTGCCAAGTGGGCTGGAGTTTTCCTTTAAAATGCCCTTTCCGTCCATGTTCAGGGTCCCACCCCACCCCGCCCCTCAGCCCCCAGGCCCTGGCCCCCTTAGCTGGCTCTTGCTGGGTTCACCTGTTCCACATTCCCGTTCTCATCTGCCACCCCCCCCCCAGGGCAGGTATGTCCAGCGGTCCTGGGGCACCAAGCCAGCCATACCTGTGCAGGCATTCGAGACCCGGGGCTTGGCTGTCCAGCCCATGGCACCTCCAGGCCCCTTGCTGCTCTGCCCGTGACCCCCGTCCTTCCCGTCTCCACACCTGACCTTGGTGCTCTCGGGCCTGGAAGGCTGGCTGCAGACCCCCCCTGATCCCCATAGACTGGCTCCGGGGGCAGGGGGCAGCACTGTCGGTCCTGACCAGGTGGCCCGGAATTGAGGACGATTACAGCTGGGAAGCAGACGCAGAGGGAGGAGGAGGGGTGGGGGCAAGAATATGCTGCCGCACTGTTTTCTGGTTCTGTTCCAGCCGCCCTCCCCCAGCCCCTCAGCCTCCACAGGCAGCCGCAGGATCCCCGTAGGGGACATGATCGCCCTCAGGTGACACAGCTTCGCGGCAGGCTCTCACACCTTCACTGAACAATTTTGTAGCAGTGCAAGGACTTTGTGGTCTGGCCCGATCTTCTTTCCCAGACCCTCCTCTGCCGGCTCTCAGTCGTCTCCCAAACACACCTGGGGCCTCAGAGCAGCTCTCCTTGGACAACCTTCTCGCCAGGTAGACACATGACACACACGTGCCTAGCAAGCTCAGCGGGGAAATCCCCTCCCTCAGCCCAGATTCACTCTAGAAGTCTCCTCCCCTTCCCATGGGGCTGAATTAAAATTAGACTTTGTCTTCCTCACCTCATTACCTTCCCACACCCGCCCCCAGACGTGGCTCCAGACAGGGCAGGTGGCCTTCTAGGTATGGAAAGGCTAGGAGTCTGGCTTTGAAGGCCCCAGGTTAGAGCCCTTGGGCCCAAAGGCAGTGACTAACCTCTGGCGCCATCTACCGGCCAGAGGATGGGTGGTTTGGGGTCTCTAACTGGAAATGACTTTCCTGTTCTGGGATTCCTCGTTTTTTTTTCTTGTGAACAAGAAAACTAGGAAAGAGAGAATTATATGAGATCCAGTCTAGATCACCATCATTTTAAAAAATTTTTTTAAATGTTTTATTTATTTCTAGGAGAGAGAGAGAGCGTGAGCTGGGGAGGGTCAGAGAGAGAGGGAGTCACAGACTGAAACAGGCTCCAGGCTCTGGGCTGGCAGTCAGCACAGAGCCCGACACAGGGCTCGAACCCACAAACCGCGAGATCATGACCTAAGTGAAAGTCGGACACTTAACCGACTAAGCCACCCAGGCGCCCCTAGATCACCATCATTAATGTCTCACCCTGGAAAGCTCACGGCAAAGCCTCCAGCCTTGCAGTGAGTAGGGAAGAAACTATCAGAAAACAGGGGCCAATTGTCTGAAGTGAAAACAGTAATTGTGTGTATTTCACTACTAAAACCTCACACACGAAGAAAGACTGGACAGTCAAAGGCAAAATCTGAGCACCGACACAGAGAGTTAGTGTGTCCAGCCTTCCCTGCTCCTCTCCTCCACCTCCCTCGACGGCTCTCTCTTGGGCTAGCAGGGAGGTGGCCACAAGGCCGGGCTGGTGGAGCCAGCCCCTCACCCCTGCTCCCTCCTGTCACAAGGGCAGAGCCTGTAGGCTGAGACCCACCCGGACGCAGCCTCTGGTGCAGCCAGTGGAAGAACAGGTCCAGCTGGGCCGGAGGGTCCCAGAGGGGCTGCTGATTCTGCTACCCACTCCCCCACCCCCCATGGGGCGGGGTGGGCTCAGGAACTGAAACTGGGGCCGGGGGAACGAGCAGCTGGAACGTTCCGGCTGGCAGTTCCTTTCTGTCTGCACTGAGGCCGGCTGATGGGGGGTGGGGGGCGCCTTCTGCTCACGTTGCAGCGAAGGGCGTTGTTTTCAGCGCCGACTCCCTCACAGGGTCCTGAACTGGGCTTGACAGGCCCTCCACAGCCCTGCTGCTTCTCCCCACCCCCCACCCCTGCAGCCAGGCAGCTCCCTGCCCCGGTGTCCTGTTCCTTCACAGCTTGGCCCTTGATCTTCCCATGCAGCTGCCTGGAAGGCCCACCCACTCCCTCAAGAACCCCAAGGGAGAGGTGTCTGCTCCTTTGTCGTCCTGCTCTTCCTCTTCTGCTGATTTTGGGGCATCTTTCCTCTTTATTTTTTAATTTTAATACATTTTTGTAAAGGTTTGTTTATTTTTATTTTTTACAAATAGTTTATTGTAATATAGTTTATAGTTTATTGGTTTCCATATAACACC